TGATATCATGGTTACTACAACTAATACTAATACTACTATCATCATCATAACATTAATTAACATATGATAATAATAATAATATAATAATAATAACAATAATAATAACAATAACAATAACAATAACACTAACACTAACACTAACACTAACACTAACAATACCAATAACAATAATAGTAATAGTAATAATAATGGAAAGAATGATCTATTGCAAGTACATGTTTCCTTTACCTAGGGTAAAGCTTTTGACTAAAAACATGTTTGCAATAGGATCATCAGTAGTCATTAAACACATACATTTCTTTACAAGACAATAATACTGATATTGATACATGTACAAGCAGATCAGATGATATTGTATAGCAATCCCAGTAGAATACCTCACATTAGATACTTTTACATATACCATAAGGATGACATCTCAGGAGTGAAGATCAATAAACCAATAGTGTACCTACAACTCTCACAATAATTGTGCAACTTACATGTACAAATATTTATGTTCATATACTTTGAAGATTGTCCACACTACATGTACAAAATGTTGGCTTGATAGTTACACTATAGGTTTTGAGGCACAGTTATGACAGCACTGGGACTTAAACTGCGTTATGTTAAGTTTTACTGTCTTGTACTGTTAGTTCACTGTGGGTTGTTTCTTATTATTTTTCCTTACCAATTGTGTTCATGTTTATAACTCTTCCCCTACGTCAATATTTTATTTTCATGTGCGTGTGTGCTTGCAATGTAATAAGTAATGAATAAGTAACTGTTTGCATGTTTCAGCGCAACTGTTTCTTCAAATACAGTTATTTTCAAAAAGATAAGAGTCTCATATATATGTACATGCACAACACTGTTCCTTACTGTAGCACATAGAAATAGCATACTGAGTTTTGCTGGTTGTCACTCTCTGAATAACTGTTGTAATCACAAACCAGTGAATGGTGAAAAGCTCATGGGAATGGTACCAAAATATAGGCTACTTATCATGGAAGGGAGCATACAAAAGCATTCTGGATATCCACAGGCAAAACAAACCTACATTACAATGAACAATGTTCCTCTAAGCAATATCAAAATAATAATAATGGTGTGGCCTGCCAAATAGTTAAAGCAACAAGTAAGCAAGATCAAGATAGGGCATGGTGAAGAACATTTCCCAGCAGCATGCAATATTATTATAACACAGAAATAAATAGGTAAAAGCAGCAATAAAAAACAACAAATCTTACGAAGAAGAAGCCGAGTACGATAAATACATCTAAGCCTGAAAAGAGAGCATGCAATTCCTAATTACCAACCCTAACCTTTCCACAAGGGTTGCAAATATGCCTAATTTGGTGTATACTACACCAAACGCCTACTTATACATGTAACTCCAAACAATACTCACAGGGAGTCATTTTAACTTTAGCCTAAAGCCCAGAACATTTTGGTAAGAATTTGATAATTTGCCTGCAGCCAACGTTCATTTTACTATTGGAATCAAAATGAAAGGTAATAAAATTGAGGGGACTTAGTTTTCTTGATACCACATTTTCAAAATATGACACCATGATCAATCCCGCCGGAGTCTAACAGACTTCAGTGCATTTTTAAGCCCTGTACACAATTTATCAATACATTGTCCAGAAGAAAATGTGACAGAGAGTTTAAAGCATGATTGTATGTATAATTTGTGTAACAACAATCTACGTAAACCATCAAACAAAGAGTGCTGTTGTTGCTTTCTTCCAAATGTCCAGACTGAACTAATAGGAGAAAAGCATGATCACTAGTAAAAAAGATAAAGTCGTGAGATTAACAATATTTTGTGCTAATTGTGTTCCTTTGGTCAACAGCTTTTGCTGACACATCAAAAACATCAGTGTTGATGTATGTCAAGCAGCTTTAAATTACTGAGAAATACTAGATCGTTTTCAAAGCACGATGTATCAAATACTGCAGTATTGTATAATAAATCCTCCCCCATTAGGTGAAATATTGAGAGGTAGAATGAATCTTAATCAAACGTTACTGATTGATGCTGTAATGTTTATGTATGCTGCACATTTCTACACCACTTTCAGGAGTGATGTGAAACCCACATAGGCAAATAATACAGATAGGAACTGGCTTCAAAACCTACCCAATTTTCACATTTATTTTTCCAGCCTTCACNGACATGCAGTTTACACTGAGTTTACAATTTTTTTCTGTGAGTAAACGTTCTGTGTTCTGGCGTGTGTTGGTAGGCCGCTTGCGCAAACCGTGTTTATTTTCTTTTGAAGAATGTTATCTTTTGGCTATACTTGGTACAAATTGTTTGCTCTTTGACAATGGGATTGTTGAAGCTTCTATCCCTGGTTCTATTTGTTAGAAAGCAGTAAATTGTGTGCCCAATTGCAAAATGTTTGTATCAGCTTAGTCTCATCTGAAGGTATACGCGCGTATACTGTATACGCGTAATGAAAATAAATAAAAGTCTCTCTTACTCTGTGCCAAGCTATCGAGCCATTGAAAACAACAATGACCATTATGAAATGAAGAAACGATACCTTAGCTCATACATACTAATGAGGCATACACGCATATACTGTATACGTGTTTATACGTATGTGCATACGGGTATACGCGTATTTGGCTGATGCAAATTACACGTATATTTTGGTTCGCTTATATCGGAGCTGCACTCTAGTAGCTCTCACAAGAAGAGAACAAATTAGAAAAGAAGTATATCAATTCCAGTTTGTTCATATGAGATTTGTCCATCCCAAAAAGCAAACACTTCTTCAGCTAGGTCTCCCAATGTTATTCCCAAGTGGATGACATACAGATACCACATTACCTGCTCACAGCTGTGAGATTTTAGTTGCTTCGTGCAAACAGGCCCTAGGGCAATGTTTTTTAATATATACTTTCCATAAAACAAAACAAGATTTGAACATGCAGAAATTTTGATAAGGATGGCGAACTACAGTATTTTGGGAAATATGGTTCTTTTATTTGTTATAAATACAGTATTAAGCAGAAGGCTGGAAAAGAGAAAGATTGTGGTTGAACAACAAAGCAACGATGACTTGATCCTTCGCACCTTTACATATGCTTAGCTGATCACTAGCATTCTAAAATCTTGCATCCACTGTTCATAACAATATATAAGCTACAAGCTGCTTTGATTTGAAAGCAAAGGAGGTTGCTGTTTTTGTGTGTAAACAAGAAAGCGTCGGCTAACTCATTAGACCCTTTTACACAAAATTTTCTAAACACCGTTGAGTGAAAGAAGCAACGCCAAGCGTCGTTCAAAATGGCTTTTATGTGTGCACTTTACAGTTCTTTTCTACTTACATTTTTTTGAAAAACGTTTTCAGCGTTCATATAACTACATCTAAAGAAAACTTTGCTGTGATATCAAAAGACATTATGACGATCCAATGCAATATGTCAACTGTATTATAAGCTAGCTTATCTAAAAGAAAATGTGCTAACAGGCCGACCACGCGCTACCTCGAACCAAGTAAAGTGTCGATATTTACCTTATTGCAGCGAACCCCTCGGAATCTGTGAGTAGTCTCTCTTTCCCAGTGAGTCTTCAGAAAGCAATGAAGAGTTGAATAAGTTGTCACTGCATGGAGAATGATTAAAAATACAGAATATTGGGAGCCTATTGGAAATCCAAGCCAAAAAGCTACCGCTCGTGCGAGAGGGAAGCGAACAACGTGGTTACTATTATGGGATATTATTTTTGAGATTGACCGCTGCCAGCAAGCACTGTCGGAGAGTATGCAACCTCGTCCCCAGGGCCTTCTCCACTTTTCAAAATGGCGGGAATTTAATGGCGGGCGGGTTGCGGCGGGCGAGTGAAAACCGTCGAGAAGAAGGCCCTGGGGACGAGGTTGGTAAGGGAGGGAGGGTTCTATTTTCTTGACAAAACGAGGAAAGAGTCAAAATCCGTGGCCCTGAACATTCACGGTTAAGTTAGTATGCGAATGTAACGATCGTTTATAACAGATTGGAATATGGGAAAGAAATTCAGTATGAATGACTTACTTCCATTCGTTTGTGTGCTTCTTGTGTTTCCGTGGAGTTTTGAGGCTGTTTCAGAGCAATTTATTCCAGCGAGTCTTAGTTTTACTTTTTTCGTCTTTATATCATTCCTATACTAAGTCCCCGACCACTCTAATGGGTTTTCGTTTGAGAACGCATACTTTTTAATGCTTTTTCGTCTGTGGTCCACACTACTACAGTTGAAATCGCTGACGTTTCTAGCGGTGTGGACTGGTGAAAACGAAGACTTTTGAAAACGGTGATGAAAATATATAATACTCAACTAAATAATAAAAATATGCATACTCTCGATTCCATATCAGCGTTTTGGGGCGTTTTACAATGGACACTCTTATAAAAAGACGGGGTCGTTCGTTGTACCTTTCTAGGGATTACAAAAACCGGTTTTGGTGCCTCTTGGGGTGTCCAGCCTCAAAAGATCCACAGCGGAAGCTTTCGCGGTATCTTTTAGGGTGCTGAGACGAAAAAATATGACAGGAGATCATGTGTTGTTTCAGAATTGGTACCTCTTAGGGGTGAAAAAAATTTCAAGCTACGCCCACAAAACAGAATCTTTCTACCCCTTAGGGGGTTCTTTTCAAAATTTATGACTAACAACCCTGTTCTTTTTTATATGGGAGTTCCCCTCCCCCACGCACACACATTCCCCAGGTTAAAACTACTCTCCCTGAATTTGACGATCTCGTTTTTTTCCTTGTATACCCGACATCTAAATTTGTTTTTCCTGCGATAGTTTTCTCCGCCTTGCCCCTCTTCGTAAAATATTGCAACACAGTCGACTGCGGTGTGTTCACAAAGACCAGCCGCTGTGTCATTGCCGAAGCGCGTGGATTTAGAATGACGCTCATGGACCAGAAGGTTAGTGATAAATATCAAAAGACATTAGATGTCAGGTCAGTACTACACCACACGGCTGTGACTTGTGCTTGACCACTAAAACGATGAAATTGTCGATCAATAATCATAATCATTTACGATCATGTGTCATATACCAACTCGCCTGTCGGATTAGAGAGCCTTAAAGCTGTTGGAAGTCCTTTTTTCAGTCTGTTTCCGAAACAATGGGAAACTGTCAAACTGGGAAAGGCTCGGAAAACGTTGGAGGACTTGGAGGATAATTTCTAATACCGTCCAAGATGCTAAAAGACCGCATCCCGCGGGTTCGGAGATTACTGCAATACCGCAATTCGAGATTTCAAAAAAAAATTACCGAAATATCACTAGAAAAATTGTCCAATACCGCAATTCCGCAAACCCCATGGCCCCCTCTGTGAATGTCTTATTCCGGTAAACGGATGTCATGAAAGTGTTGTCGGGGCAGTGATTGACAAGTATGTCTAAAAAAGGAATCGTACTGTCTTGTTAATAGTGACTTTGATGCTATTGTGTCGACTGTTTAGATACCGTGAAAACGCACTAGGATCCATTAGCAGTGTGTTTGCTGTCAAACATGGTTATTGTGTCATCAATACACGTCTGTACCAAAGTAAAGGACAGAATCGGCTGTCGTTAATTGCCCATTTTTCTTCAAATTGGCACATGAAAGTGTTGGCTGACTTAGCCGCTAAAAATGGTTTAAGGGTGAAACTATGACAACACTCTGGCCGCAGTATTGGCCGTAAATATCAAGTGGGTCTTCTTAGAGGCAAGTATATTCGGATTCTGGTGATGAGGTATTACCAAATTAGATAATGTCGGAGGATAAGGAAGAGAGAAAGACTTGTCGAGACAACTTGTCGAGGAAACTCCGTTCGCCCACGAACGGAGTTTCTGACTGGTGCGGCTCGACCCTGCCTGTCAATTGTCTGTCAATCACCAACCAAATTCCTTCATTTCGTTTGTGCGGGAAAGAAACATGGCGAACTCTGTCGAAAGTGGTGTTGTTAATTTCGATTGCGCTCTCGAGGAATCTCTTTAGTGTCTTTTCATTTTTCCCCTCCCCCATCCCCCACCGTCTAACATGGCGGTCGCAAGGTTGTAACGCTAACTCGCCCCAATACGACGCCTGCACTGCAGGCTATTCAGTGCACAAAAAGGCAATTAGCATCTTCTACAAAGATATGGCACGCTTGTTTACAAAGAAATACCGGCATTTATATTATTTAAATAGCAACAATATATTACTGATAGCCAAGAGATTGATGTGAGCTTATGGGTGAAACACTAACGTACTGAATCCCTCCAAAGGAGCAAAGTTTCCGGCAGGCAATTCTTCAAAACTTAAGACTTTATAAACTATGTTCTCTCAGTAGTTATGGCAATCAGTGTAGGCGGAAAAAATAGGCGAGACAAGATGACAATGTATGCTTTTTTTTCTGTCTGGCTTTGTTTGGTTTCAACGTAGTCGTTGTATTCTTTGATAGCCGTTATCAAGTGAGTGTTGCCGACAATACTCCACAAGACAACAAGAAATAATGAAAAGGTTTGTTACTAGCCAGCTCCAGACTCTTGCTTTACACAGCAGAACAAACAAGAGGTTTCTTGACAAAACTATGACTTTTTGCGTCAATCAGTAATTTTCATTTATGGAAGACTCGTATTGTTTCTCCGAATCAAAGCCATTGCCGCCTGTATAAACAGTGCCTTGTATTAAGAGTAAATCACTTAAATTTAGCTCACTCGCCAGGAATCTTCAGTTTTTAAAACACTCCTTCTCTGGGAAGAAAGTCGCTTTTTGTCGACCAAGTCACTTTCCAAGCGAGGTATTATTCTTTTGATTTATTTTTCTACATAACAAAATTAATGTCATCTTTTCAGCGAAAATATGATTGAAAA